CACTAGATACAGATACGTAAGGTAGAGTATTTCAGCACAATTACTGATCTGTGCTAAGGGCTCAGTGAAGGGTAGTCGAGGTCCTGCAACTCTCCCTCACTGCTATAATTGATTCCGTGAGCGGGGGAGGCAGATGACCATTGAACTATATGATCCTGCTATCAAAATTTGTGCTTCAAGCCAGGAGAGCTCTGGGAGATCAGCGTAACCCGGGGAGGTGAAGGAAGGCTTCTGCAAGGATATGGGAACTTGGCTGGGCTGATAAAAACACCTGAGAGAGAGAGAAAGGTAGGGAGAGGGCACCATAGGTGTCCTCAGTCCAACTTTAGTGTCTAGCCCCGGTTCAGGTAAACAGAATTTGGAAAGGCAAGTACCAGAAAATCAAGTTTGCACAGTGCTGCAGTTGTTTTAGTTGTTTTAACTGGCAACATTAGACATATAAGACAGTACATCTTGTAACGTATACGGTGTTTTTTTGATATGTGCTACATAAATATGAAGTGTTATTATAGCTAAGAGGAATCTGAGAAGAAAAGTAAACTGGATAAGGACAACAGTGCTGAGCTATGTACTCATTACAGATAAATACATAAAACCTTTGAAATTATGACATAACCAGTGCTGTTAGATTTATGGCAATGGGTATTGCTCTCATTCCACTTTGCATTTATCATCTTTATATTCATATGGCATCTCTATTTTCAATGTCTTACCAATTTTTCCCTCTCCTAGTAACCTTTTCAGCTGAAATTTCATATGCTTCATATCAGCTCAGAAGCAAATTCTCTGCTGGAAGTTTGAACCTATCTGTTCAACCATTTCTGAGTTACCCAAGCTTGAAGAAATGTTTTGAAATTATGTCAAGATCCACTTTTTATGTGTTTAGATTTAATTCAAGAATGGGGTTTAAATTTAAACCTCTAGAGCTGTCATACACATATTCTCTGAGGAGAAAAATATTCTTTGCTTTGAGATACAATTTGTTGAGGTTTACACTCCACTTTCTGTGTAACTGGAGTGTGGTTATGAAGAGATCTACTCAAATCCTGGAAAACCCTTTGGGTTTCCAGACCCTCCATGCATATTTGTAAGAATGCTTCCCGCCCCCCACCCTTATCAATTCTCTAGAAGAACTTGAGAGTAACAACTCCTGTCTGACTGTTTATTGTCAGACAATAGTAAAAGTTTTATTCTATGAAAAACCAGAAAAATATTTTAAACATTTATTTATTTATTTGCTTATTCATTTATTTCTTGAAACTTGGACATTGATCCTTGTTCTATTGTGGGTAGGAACATCTGTACTACTAACAGCGTCTCTTAAGCAAATATTATTGGTTATATTGACAAGACTTTTCTAAGATGGCATACTATTCATCATAAGATTATAAGTGCCCTGAAAGACTGAGAACTTACAAAATTAAAAAGAACTAAAGTAGGAATGGTTGAATAGGGTAGAGACAGGAGAGAAGAGGGCAGAAGACACCCTTCTGATCTGGCAGATAGTCTCAAGGCATATAGATATATTCCAGTTATCTATTGCTATGGGACAAATCACTTCAAGGCTTACTGACTTAAACCAGCAATCCTTTTAATATCTCTGGGGGTTGGCTGGGCTCACTTAGACAACTTCTGCTCAGGGGCTCTCATGCAGTTGCTGTGTGTAGGGCTGGCATCCTTCAAAGGCTCACTCACTCATGTATAGTACTTGGGCTGGGAAACCTCAGACACCTGAGGCTCCTTGAGCATCTCTTTCTGTGTACCTGGTCTCTCCACATGGTTTCTCTAGCATGGGAGCTGCAGCATGGCCAAACATTTTTCATGGTCATTCAAGGCTTCAATTTCAAATACCCCTGTCCCAAGTGAGAGAGCCAAATGGAATCTGTATCATCTTTTCTAATCTAGCCTCAGAAGTCACAAAGGCCCACTCAGGTTGGAGGGGAGGCGACAGTCTCCACCTCTTGATGAGAGATGAGCCAAAGAATCTGCAGATGTGTTTTAAAACTACCACAGGACTTCACAGACCTCTGGCAGAAAGTCTGGGACAGAATAATGAGTCATTCACTAAACCACAAATTGGTTCATTGTGGTTCCTTTTCTGCTGTGGTAGAAGGTCACTGCCATGCTTAAGGGCTCTGGAGTTAGACTGCCTGCCTGGGCTTGCCTCTGCCCTGACACTTACTAACCTGGAACCTTAAGCAAGTTCCAGTGCCTCAGTTTTTCCTATTTGTAAGTTGCAGATAATGAGAGCTAACATTTATTGAGCACTTAGTAGGTACCAGGCATTGTCATAAGTGCATTATATACTATCTTTTATTCCATAACCAAAATAACGCTATGAGTTAGTTACATTACCTCCTAAATTATAGAGTTGACAAAAATGGAGATATCTTTCTGGTCTGTGGTGTGGATCAAATGAGACAATTACGTTCTTTCTTGATGTTATTATGAAACTTGATGGGGCAAATTCTAGTGATGCCAGGTCAGGAGAGTAAGCCATTTCCAGAAATGGACCAAACGTGCACAGTGGCACATAGGAAGAAACACAGATTATTCCTACTCTAGTGCGGAAGCTCTAAGGAGGATCAAATTTCCTGACAGGTGTTAAAAATGCATAAAAAGGCCTGCCACTCCGGGTCTCATTTGGGGCTACGGGTCCAAAATCCAGCTCAGTCCAGCAGATTGGGACCGCGAGCACCGCTGTGAGTTTTACAAAAAGGAGTATTTATCTTTTTCCTGAGGAAGAAATCCACGACTCCCACAAGTCAAAAGAGTTGTGCCGGGAGAACACCCGCCTTCTACCCTAAGTTTCCCTAGGTGTCAGGGGCCCGCGTCTAGCCGGACGCACACAGCCGACACCGTTCCCGGGGGCCTGCTGGGTACTCTGCCTCCCCTCGCGTCCCCGTCGCCACCCTCAGCTCCTCGACTCTACGAGCCACCTTCGCCTCCTCCTTCTCCCCTAAGGTGCCTACTCCCGCGAACGCAGAGCGCCCATCTTCCCAGCCCGGACAAAACCCGGAGAGGTGGAATCCCTCGCCCGGAGCGCCCCGGCGGCCACTGGGCATGCTCCGTCGTCAGGCAGGTTCGGGGCCGCGAGCAGCTGGTGCGACTCACGGATCCCTCCTGCGGCCGCACGTCCTCCGCCCCCCGAGCAGCGAGCGGGCGCATGATGGCGGCGGCGGCGGGGAGCGCCAGCGGCGGCAGCAGCGGCGGCGGCGGCGGCGGCAGCAGCAGCAGCGACACGTCCAGCACCGGCGAGGAGGAGAGGATGCGGCGCCTCTTCCAGACGTGCGACGGCGACGGCGACGGATACATTAGCAGGTACTCGGGGAGGTCCACGAAACGGGCTGGGGCGCGACGAGCCTCTAGGCGCTCTCCTTGACCCCTCCTCCGCCCCCTCGCCCCAACTTCCCGCAAGTTGCTCAGAAGCTTACGGGAAAACTGGCTGTGACTCTGAGAGTGTGTCGCCAGCTCGGCCACTGAGGCCGAGGGGCTGCTCTGCTCGTCTTCTGGAGATGCCAGTTGGCCCAACTTTTCCTAGCGCCGTCTTTGTCTGGGCATTGGGAGGCACCTCTTTAGTACGCGAATACCCACCCTCCGGTCCCCCGGGACTCTAAGGACTCCTGCCTCTGGGAAAACGAGTTCAGGCCACTTGTCCCAGGTGGAAGAGGCTGCCCCGCAGCCTCGGGCTTCAGGGTGTCAAGATGCTGTGGCCACGGGTTGCTCAGTGGACGGACCCGGGGCCGGACCAGGATAAGGATGCGCTCTCAGTGACAGATTTGAATATGAATACAAGCTGTGCCGAACTTTGGTGTGGCACCGAGCCCCTGCTCCAAACTTAAGAGCCCAAAGAACAGGCACGGTTTGCCGCTCAGTGCTGATTTAAACCTATTAGGCGGAGGAGAACGAAGCACTGAGGCGCAAACTCGGGCTTTAGAGGTGAGTCTGGAATATAGACCCAACTCTCTACCCTGCTCCGCGCTCTCACCAGGTGAGCCTCTGGAGGGGTCTCGAGGCACCTCTGCGCGAGCACTCATAACCCTTGCTGTGCTAACTTGCAGCTCCCCTACAGGGGCGGTGTTGCATCGTTGGGCGGCAGGGCTTGGCAAAATAATT